TTGCATTTCAGGCTTCATTCGAGAGATTTCAGGCTTCATTACATTTTCTTAGTTTCATATTGTAATATTCGGTTCAGTTCTAAGTTTTATTTTCTGAGTGAAATACAACATCAGTATGCTGTATACTTCAGACACATATCAGTTACATTAGTTTGTAAGTTATTTTCAATTGTAATTTCTGTTATTAATCCAAGTCTAATATTCAGTTATTTTATTTGTTTTAATATTTATATATATATATACTATATATATGTTTGGTCGGTTATATACCGCTTTATCTAATTTAATGCTTTAATTGTTTTAAGTTAATGTGCGCTTCCCCTTTGGTATCAATTAATCTTCCACTTACATACAACTCTTTCTGCGAATTCGTATCTGTAGCATAGTCACCCATACCATGATTCAAAAAGCTGAAAGAATCATTCGCCTCTACCCTTACAGGTGGCAAACAATTAAGGCCTTTCAGAGCTACACAGAAACGAAGCTTTTTAAGCGGAGCCATAGCCGAAGCTGGTCAACTGAAAATGAAGATCACGCCCCACACAAACTGTGACCCCCTCAGACGATTCCTTTACAACACAAGCAACTGGGTCAACATACCAGGGAGAACAGGCCTGTAGCCAACCGTCCCTTCCGTAATCAATCCAGGCTCAACTTCAGGCGCCGATGGCTCAACTAGTAACACACAACCCTTCTTCGTCTTAGCACCACTCCTCAACACCCCACAAGGAGTAGAAGAAGAAAAAAGAGCAGAAGGAGAGCTCCGATCGTGAGGAACAGAGGACATACCTGGGTCGTTGATAGAAGGGGTGCGAGCGATTCACTTCTGTTTATTGTTTCGAGACCATCTATTACCATGGCAAATCATATAAGAGCCCTGATTTGAGAATCTAGAGCTTCTATCAAAACTAATTATGTTGAAAAGTCTTCTCGTCCGTGCTCAAACCAGCCTCGCCTGCACTAATCTACATCCATCTCCTCTTCTCCGGCGAGGTCCACAATCTGTTTGCAGAAGTCATAAGAAAGACGCAATGGAGGTAGAAGAACATGATCTGAATCGCTGGGCTTTATCAGGACCTTTAGGCTGGGCTTCGCATTTGGAAAAGAAATGGATATATGGTTGTTGGGCCCGCATTTGACCTTCCTCTTTAATTCATTAGTCTTGTGGCCCATAACACGGCGGAGTCCCAATAACCATGGCCCAATACTCAGATTAGGCCCAGCATAATCTGCATGAAGGGCATCTGTATAACCGCTTGCCCATCCACGTGGTTGGCCTCCAGTGGTCCGTTCAAAACGAGGGAAGCCTGAAAAGGAATGGAAGGGGGCGTTACACGTACAACTCGCGGGCCTCCTTACCCCACTAGCATACGGCGCGTTGAGGAACACGCGTCGCTGTCCTTGAGGGCCGAGGTGAACCTGCAACTGCAGTGAATGGCGACTTATTCCAAATCTCGTCTCGTTGGGTATAAAGGGGGGGACCATCAGTTGTGCCGTAAGAGGACTTCGGAAGGATGAGTGGTGAGGATTCCTCCGTCAAGGCGACCTTAAAGGCTACTCTCTGATCTTCGACAAAGACGAACTTCGGTATTGCACCTCCGGAAAAAGCGTAGAGAATAACTCTCTCACCTCCCGCCATCTCGTCCACCTCCACACCTCTGAAACCACCGCACATATCTCCTATGGATTCGAATAGCTTCTGGCACCATAGATGGAGAGGCAAACTGTACATCACCGCCCTACTTATCCTGTCTCTTGCTCTCACCACTGAACATCCCACCTCAAAATACCCAACATCAATTGATAGGATAGCGTCTCCCCATTTCTTCTTCCCTGAAACCAAGACTCTTTGTGCCTCTTCCTCATAAGGTAGTCTGAACAGAAGCAAACCGTCAGGCAGGGATGAAACCACCACCCCATACGATATCTTCCAAATCTTCATCGCCCACGACTCAATCCTCTAAGTGCTTCCCACGTCTCGATCAAAACGTCCGATTAGGCAGGATTTCAGAGCAGATTCACGGATCTTTGTACTTTGATGATCAACCCTGAACACCTTTCCGTTGCTAATTGAGAAACTTTTGATCTCACCGCTGAGGTTGAGGAATGGAAGTGTTGCCACATCGACAAAAGACCGTAGCATATCTCAGATCCACCGCTTTTTGATGAAGAACAACGAACCAGACAAAATAAAAGAAAAGAATCAGAAGATGCTGAGTGGATGACTCCGGCGTCTGAGAGGGTAGAGAGAAAAGTCATAGAGAGAAGAAACTCTTGATAATAACTCTTAGAAGAAACTTAGGACAGGGTGTTGGGGGTTCGACTTGATGCAATTCGCGAATTTGTTTTCCTAATTCGAGATTTCCATACGAATTTACTTTATACAGCTAAATTTATTAGAATCCTATTGATATGGAACATCTATATTACCATATATGCATTTATTACTTACACTATTACTCAATATATACATTAATTACTAAAACTTCGCGTGTGCCCTAGTTGTATGGCATTGCTATACTATCATATATATATATATATATATATATTAATTATACATGTTTGAAAATATACCACTTTTAAACTTCCCAATTGAAGAATATTACAAATAAATCACACATTTATTAGTGAGAAAAGTTGGCTAATTTATTATATATATCATTAATGGAATAAATAATGATGAATATATTTGCATTTGGATTTAAATAAAAAAATAAAAATAAAATATATATGTCATGACCTGATAAAATTTTATTTAAACCTAATATACAGACGCTCCCGCTTTAAAAAAAAATTAGACTTTGACGCTTTCGCGCTCTCACTTTCGCTCCCGCTCTGTGTGACTTAGGTTGCACGTCCTTGATGCTTTCTGCTGTACTTGTCAAAATAGAAAACATAGGACGCAACCTATTGCTCTTTCAATTTTGGTAAACTTGATTGTTCCCCTTTTCGACTTGAATGTTTATTATAACATTCTGGTTCACTGATTTTCTTATTTGGTATTTAGATTTTATTAAAAGAAACAGGCTTACAAGTACAAGGGGCATGCCCCAGGAGAGAAGAAACAACTCAAAAAGGAAAATGACAAAAACAACAAAGGGACATGGTTGATAGCCAAAGCAAGAATATACAAAGCTAAGGACTGGACTCAATAAGAATATTTAGAAATGGAGTTATACATAAACGACATATTCTAGCATGTATACTCTAATTTTCCAAAAATACTCTCAATAGAACTTCTAGTTCTCCTCAAATGGATCTCCAGCCTGATGCGCAGTCCACCAATGCTCACCTACATATGCAGTTCCTCTATTATGTCTTCAAATTGAATAATAGCAACTTTTTCCTCATTAAGGGTCAATGGTGAGATGAACTTCAGTATAATCCATCAATCTTATGTTTGTTCAGGTCAAGAAACTCTGGCCAGATTCGTTATTCAGATTTCAGTTGCAATTTAGGACAGCCATAACTGTTAATGGCATGTCCCATAGCCCATCCACACTACAGAGAGGCAGGGTTTGCAATCCACTTAATTAATAGGACTAAAGTTCGAATTCGTCATGCAACAGTTGCTATATTCACACATAGGGATGGCAATTTGACCTGTCCACCCTGCTTGGGTTGGGGAAAGGACTTTGAATAGGGTTTGGGGCGGGTACAGAAAAAGATGACAAAACCCGATTTAGTTTGTAGTCAAGATGAGTTTTATTCTATTAAAAATAAAAACCTTCATGATCTCATCAGTCCCCCTTTCCCTCCGCCCCCTCATGATCTCACCAGTCATTCCCATTCGCGGAGCAACAGTTGGCGACTTGTAAGTGTTTTTGTGTGGTGATTGTTTGGTCTCCAAGACTTCTTACCCGTGGTTTGCTCATTGCTGAAGATCACCTTTCAACAATTTATAAATGCTTTTGTTTGGTAATCGTTGGCCCTCCAAGCCTTCCGATCAGTGATATGCCAATGACCAGTGATCTTTGATCTTCCAAAGCTGTGAGCCTCCACATCTCTCAAGGTTCTCGTAAATTAAATGGGAATGGGCTAGACGGAGCGGGGACAGGTTTTTGGACTCTCTTCAAAAGCATTGATGGGATGGGAAAATGAAACCCGTACCAGGGTTGGGATGGTTATGAAACAATGTATTTTGTTTAGCAGGGCAGGGTAGGCCCAGTAGGGTTTATGGAAACCTGGCCCAAACCCGCACCATTGCCATTCTTATTCACACCCTTTAAAGATGTTAAGAAACCGTCATCTTGTAACGCTCAACTGATGTGGCAGATACCAAGTATTATGTTTTTATGTAATAAGTTCTAATATAATCAATTTCAAGAGGTCATTGCTAGATGCATTGCTGAAGCTTAGGTTGCAAATTTCGAGAAGGAATGAGTCTCAGATCAGTCACTTCATGCAAAACAAGAAGTTTATTGTGTCACCTATAATTGGCTCTCATTTCTAAAGAGAGTGACTCGCACATTTAGAAATGCCTCAGCACATTCCAACTCTGTGATTTATGTTAACCTACATATACAAAACCACATATTAGAGTATATAGAGTACTATAATCCTGCTGTCTTTCAGATTATAGAAATTATCAGCATAACAGGTGACAAAAAAAGCTTACGAGAACTGGAAGGGAGAGTAATTTTTCCTATAAAAAGGGAATGCTCACCTTGGGACTCGGGTACTTGGTGAATCAACTTTAAAGTGTTTGATATTGATATTAATATTGCACCCAGAAAAAAATTAAATGATGTGCGTTCTGATAGATACAACCAGGTTTGTTTAATGAAAACATGTATCTCACTCAGGAGAGGTCTGTTGGGTTCACCATACGTAGTAAAATATGCCGAGCGGAGTAGAATGCATGTGCAGTTTCTTGATTCACACCATAATTTAATCCAAGGAGATGACTTTCTTTTTTCAATTGGAAGCTTTATGAAATTTTATATATTGTGAGTTGTAATTTGCTGGAAATTGTAATTATAATTATAATTTTCTTTCAGACCATTCCCATTTTGATCTAGTAATTGAGCGCCTACAGCAAGTTGCAGCCCAGGAAAGACAGAACAGTGGAGATGACTCATATGGCTTAACAGAAGAGCAGGAGGTGGAGTTGACTCCCGAAACTAATGTATGGCTCTTTACTTATTTCTTATTGTTGTGCATGGGTAAATAGCAGGTGTGGTTTAAGATTGTCATGGAAATTACATATATGCATGTGCAGCGTGCAGACTATATATGTAGAGTACATTCATACAAGTACAAGCTTTTTGTTTCTTCCATTCACTGTTAGTGGATCTCACCTAAGATATATTTTGAAGAATGTTTTAACTGTTTTTTGGAGAATTTTGACAAATGAGTTCATTCTGTTAAAGTCATTTGATCTGTTCAAGCTAATGGCATTCTTTTAAATTGTTGCATCCCATGTAAGTTTTTAGTGACCAATGATTTCGTACATTATTCGATATCCTCTCAGTATTCCTCGTTTGCATTATTCTCAATCCAGGCCATTAGTGCTTATTGGTAGATTTTTTTCTAGAATAGTTATTCATTTCTTGTTAACATATCATTATATTTCGCCTTTTTGGCTTAAATGATATCATATATGCGAGCAAGAGGTTAGAAAAATTGCATTTGTAGGAAGGCCGAAAATTGGGTTATACCAGAGCTTTTGGCTCTAGCCTGTTATTGTGGACACAGATCTTAATGTGAAGTCAAATAATTAGGTAAATGAACTGTTTTTTCAGATAACTTCAGGTAACCCAACCAGAAATTCATTTAAATGCAAAATGATTGGCTAGGACTAAATTGGTTTTTAGTGCTTGTGGCCTTTTGTTATTCTGCCTCTCTGACCTTTTTAAGGATTTGATTTTTTTCTTCTCAATGCATGTATGGCTGGTAATATCATTCTAGTTTAAGCCTCAATAGTTAATATGGTTTGGTCTTCGTAGTAATGACCTGATTCTCCCCTTTTAATGATTGATTTGTGCAGGAGATGGCAAAATTTGAGCAGGTTCAGGAAAAAGTTGAGGATATGGAACCCAATTTATCGGAGGTCCAGAGTCCTGTGAAGTCTTGTGACAGTGAAGATGACTTGTATAGATGGAGTGAATATAAAAGTGAATTCTAATGATGGAATGCGTGATACTTCTGTTACTGTGACATAGTTCATTAGTCATTTTTATTTATGCTTCAGCAATTAATGTATAATACGGAGTATAATCTTTTGCTATGTTGAGAATTTCAGAGCTTTTGTTCCCAACTGATACGAGTCTCTCTTATTCTCTTTCGGCAGATACGATGTGGAAGTGGATATATACTATTTGTTTGGACACTCGGATGAACTCCGGATATGTGCAAGCAATTGCAAATCATACCATATATATCATTTAAGTTAGGGTGTTTTTGCACCTAAAGAAAATCAAACATAGCGGTGGAGACTCCTTATTTATTCATCTACTGAGCCATTTCTAGACATTATTCTGCTTATGTGTCATGAAGCATTTTTTTTTTAACTAGGAAGGAGGGGGAAGGGGAGGATGGGGTGAGTCGAACTTGGACTCCCACACAATTTAGCGGAGTGCCTCTACTAACTGGGTTACTCAGCTCACCCCATGTGACATTAAGCTTGGATTTTTTTTTTTTTTTTTTACGATGATGTGCTAGACTAGAAACAAATCTATGAGGTATTTTTCATTTCTTGTTACATTTTACTCCTTTTTCTCTCAAAGCATGAGTATTTTTCATCGCATTTTCATAACAAAACACTCTGCTTTTTAAAACTTCCTCAAAGGCACTTTGAATAAAGTCATTCATATCTACAGCCTCGTGGGACTCCTCTTGGCCCACCATTCTGTTCGGATCTTCTTTCATTTTGAAGGCACCTAGAATAAGGTCATCTTCTCGTTCATTAAGACACATATCGGCTTTAGGATCACTTTTACCACGTTCATCGTTCCTTTAGACATGCATCATCTTTAGGATCGTTGTTATCACATTTCCATATTCCTTTGGACACGCAATGTCTTTAGGATCATTTTAGCCGATTCACCCATCCACCAAGCACGCTCGTTCCTTAAACAAGATCTCCAGGCCCAGCTCAGACAAACTCCCACGATCACTCTAGCTGACCCAGCTCGGCCACAAAGCAGGTTGAAGGATCCAGCTCCTCTCCTAGAGACAACTCGGCTCGTTACGAACCCAGACCCCCCTCTGTTACTCATCACACCATTGATAGAATCAAGAAGGTCCTTCAAAACGATGAATCCTCAACCCAACCAACAAAACCATTAATGACATTTACAATCTTCCGGAGAGTGTGGATGCCGTCATTATGGTTGCGTCCAAAGTTGATCTTATTGACGAGGTGGCTAGACTGAAAAAGCGTCTCTTGGACTCTAATGAAGAGTTAGCTCGGCTAAAGGCCTCCCAGTCCAACCACACCAATGATTCACCCATCCCCACCCATTGTGCTTCCTGCCAAAGCATGCCACAGAAGCAGGATGTTGAGGCTGTCTTGGAGAAAGCCAAAAGAAGCCACGATTTCATCTTGGACATCATCAAGGATCTTCAAACTCTAATTGGTTCACTCTCTGATCGGAGTATAGGCCACCGGAGTTCAACTTCTCATCCTCAGACTGTTTCAAATTTGAATTCCACTGTCACTGCTGCAGGGCCACACCCTGCTGATGCTCCCATCCCCAACCCACCTACTTCTAGCTCTCTATCCTCGTGTCAGAGAAAAGAAGCTGTTGTATCACCTTATTTGGAAGTTACACCTTTTACCCAATGTGCTTTGACCGAAGAGACTGTAACCACTCCACCTGTTGGACCCACTAAGCCACCTGGGGTCATTACCTAGCCAGGAAGGCCAAACCCACCTCCCCTTGACATATCACATCTTATCCCTTCCCCACAAAGATCATGGGCCAACATTGCTGCCCAACCACCACCCACTCCACAACAATATAAAATGGTCCTTGAGTATTTTGAACCTTCTAAAACTGACTTGGGATCTGTTGTAGAGCCCCCCATGGAGATTGAGAAAGAGGGATGCTCATCTTGGTCTGGGTTACTTCCAAGTCATTTTGCTTACAGAAAACTAGCCTTTAGTGTGGTGCATCAGAAGCAGAGAAGCTTTGGAAGGATAAAGGACTGCAACAAGTTTACGCGGACGGGAATGGTTTCTTCTACTTTAAATTTGCAAATGAGGTGTCCTTGGCATCCATCCTTGCATCTGGGCCGTACTTCATTGCCAAGAAACCCATCCAGCTCCATAGATGGCATCCCAACTTGTCAAAGGAGAAATAATCCAGTCATCTAATCCATGTGTGGGTAAAAATTTTCAATGTTCCATTATGTTGGTGTATGGCCAAAGGGTTAAGTCATATTCCAAGTGCAGTAAGGCATCCTCTGCATGCTGATCATTTCACAGAAAGTAGAGAAAAACTGAGATTTGCTAAGATTTGTATGGAGATTGACTTGGACTTACCGCTTTTAAGGTCTTTCCCTTTGAAGAATGGGGATGGAAGCACTGTGGAAATTCATGTTCAGTATCTAAGCATCCCCAAATATTGCACCTTATGCAGACTGGTTGGGCACCCCTCATCCATTTGTCCACAAAAGATGGGACCTTCACCTTATAGCCACTCCCCAAGGGTACAGTCAGGTTGGAATGTCATACCCACAAAAAAAGAGTAGATCATCTCCTCATGGCCTACAGAATGCTGGAGCTATTAATAATCATGCACCACCTGCACCTAGCCTTTCCCCACCACAACTGGAGTACAACCTGATCTCTCACATCTCACAAGCATTCCCACAAGCATTGCAGTTACCCCTCTCACATATCTTCTGCAATGTCCTGCACAATCCCCTACAGCCAAAACATATACTAACCCACTATCTAAAAACCTTTCCCTTATACAAGCTAAAAAAGTTAGCAAGAGCCAACGTGGATAATAGGCTCATTGTTTGTGACCCTCAGAGCTCAGGCACTGCATTGGAGTCTCAGCAGTTGGAACTTTTGAAATAGGTTTTACCCGATTGCAGAGGATGATCCCCAGGGTTCTGTTGCCCCCTCTCATGATGAGTCTGAGCAACTTTTTTCTTCATCCTCCTTAAGTATGACCTGCTCAAACATCTCAAAAGGAAAGAAAAACATTGGTAAGAAAAAGAAAGCCTTAAAGGGGCTGCATGTGCATGTCTTTCCCTTTAAAGGGATTAGACACCTGAAGGGAGCTTCCAAATCCCTCTCTAATGGTTAGTCTAGCTACTTGGAATATAAGAGGCCTGAACAGCCTCTCAAAGCAGCTTGAACTGCAGGAAATAATTAGGTCACATAAATTGGACCTTCTGTCTGTGTTGGAAACAAGAGTTTCCCCTGATAATATGGCTGCCATTCATAAATTTATAGCACCTAAATGGTCCATCATTCACAACTATGATCACTCTATCCTTGGAAAAATTTGGATTATGTGGAATCCAAATGTGATTAACATCTCAGTGGTGTTTGCCACTAAACAAGTCATCCACTGCTCTGTAGATCTCCCTAATAACCAGCACTGCTTCATTTCTTTTGTTTATGGTGCCAATACCTATATTGATAGAAGGGACTTATTGGCCTCCATCAAGCACTATGCTAATCTCTTTTGTGAATCCCCTTAGCTGGTCCTAGGGGATTTTTATGTAATCATTAACTGCAATGAGAATTTTGGGGGTTCCCTTAAAAGGTCTTGTGCAGTGGCTGAATTCAATGACTGAGTGATGGATTCTAAGTTGGAGGATCTAAGGTACACTGGTATTCACTACACTTAGAACAATCAGAGCTTGGGATCTGCCAACATTGCGAAGAAACTTGATAGAGCAGTTACTAATAAAGAGTGGTCTAGAATCTTCCCTATGTCTGACTGCACTTTTCTCCCACCTAGCCTATCTGACCACAACCCTATCCTTGTTAGACTAGGCCCTCCTGCTCCGAAGAGGAAATTACCCTTCAGATATTTCAACTCTTGGGCCTCTAACCCCCACTTCATGCCTTCTATTGAGCAAGTATGGGCTTCCAACATCGGAGGAACTCCAATGTTTCAAATAGTACAGAAGTTGAAGACTCTTAAGGGGGTACTCAAACAAAGGTGTAGAGTGGAAATTTCTCAAGCATCTGCACAGGTCAGTCAGGCTAGACATGCTTTGTCCTTATGCCAACAGCAGCTGGATGTTAATCCTATGGATGTGAACCTCAAGACTCTTGAGAAGGAGCTCATGCAACAACTCATTAATTATTCTCTTGCTGGACAACATTTTTTCAGGCAGAAATCAAAGATCAGATGGTTGAAGGATGGGGATAGTAACACAGCTTTCTTTTTTTAAGGTTTTCAACTCTAAGACCAACAGGAAGAAAATCACATCCTTAACTTCAGCTAATGGCACTACCATTGATCAGGTACAGCTTGTCAACTCTGAGATTGTTTCTCATTTTCAGACTTTACTGGGATCTTCCCCTCCCCCATACCCTGGGATTTCATACTTGCAGCCTATAATCACAAAAACCATCCTATTACACTTCCATTCGTCACTTATCTCTATTCTCACAGAGGAAGAAATCCAAACTTGCTTCTTCTCTCTTAACAAAGAGAAATCACCAGGACCTGATGGGTATAATGCACATTTTTACCATGTTGCCTGGCCAGTTATAGGGAATGACATCATTGATGGAATCAGATCTTTTTTCCTCAGTGGGAAACTGCTAAAGGAAATTAATAACTCATATATTGCCCTAGTCCCTAAAGTACCCAACCCATCAACTCTTAATGACTTTCGGCCCATCTCATGTTGTAATACAATCTATAAGTGCATAGCTAAGCTCATTATTAATAGGCTCAAGCAGGTTCTGCCTTCAATTATTGATCCATAACAAAATGCATTCGTCAAGGGACGACACATTGGTGACAGTGTTCTACTAGCTCAGGAGCTTTTTCAGGGCTATCACAGGCATCTTGTGCCCCCCAGATGTGCTGTAAAAGATGACCTAATGAAAGCATTCGATTCTGTTGGGTGGGACTTTATACTCGACTCGTTAACACTCTTTGGGTTTCCACCTACTTTTGTAAATTGGATAAAGGCTTGTATCTAGATATAAAACTCTAGCAATCTCCCACCTCATTTTCACTGATGACCTTCTACTTTTCTCTATGGAGACTTAGCCTCTATCACCACTCTTAAGAATGCCATTGACCAATTCACTGCTCTCTCTGAACTGTGCATCAATAATCATAAAAGTTGTTTCTTCGTCTCTGGGGTATCTAATGACCTTGTAAATGACATTAAGATCCTATTGGGCTTTGATTTGGGGGAGTTACTATTTAAGTACCTTGGCGTTCCTCTTGTCTCTACTGCTCTAAGGGCGGATGACTGCAGAGGGCTGATGGAGAAAGTAACTAGAAGAATTTGCCATT